TTAGAAGGCACTAGTGACTTCATCACGTAAGTGAGAAGCCATCATTAACTTCATTTTGGATAAGCAAAAAACTAGTAAAATAACTTTAAAACTATTGGCGACTTCTTCACATAAGTGAGAAGGCATCGACAACTTCATTTCGAATAAATAGAAAAGCATGTAAAATGATTTAAAAGACATTAGCGACTTCTTTCACATAAATAGAAAGCCATCGATAACTTCAATCCGGAAAAATAAATAGCAAGTAAATTGATTCGAAAGTCACAGGTAGCTTCGATCACATAAGTAAAAAGCCATCCATAATTTCAATTTAGACAAACAAACATTAAGTAAATCAATTTGAAAGTGACATGTAGCTTTAACCATTTATAGGAAGCCACTAATAGCTTCAATTCGGACAAATAGACAACAATAAATCGATTTTAGAAGCCTTAGATAGTTTCAACCATATCAGTAAGAAGCCATCAAAAAATTCAATTTAGACAAATAGACAACAAGTAAATCAATTTAGAAGTCTGCAGACAACTTCAACCATATAAATAGGAAGCCACCAATACCTATATTTTGGCAAACGGACAACGAGCAAAAATCTCAAGCATAATAAAATAGAGCATTTGATAGCTCAATCATCCATAACACAACATTGATATCATTTATTTATCATTTTAAACAATCTAGGTAAGTTTGAAAGTTACCTAAATGTTGTGAAAATATTACGAGTCCCTCTCTCAAATCGGCTTTAATTCTTTCAATCTCGATAAGGACTAATTATTTCGATCAGTCGAGAAGGAAAAAGTAATTATTGTACAATGACCAAAATCCCCCAATCGGTTATGATATGACCAACATGTCCATATATATTAAGTACAAAAATCCCTTCGAGTACGTGTGTTACACGTACTACTACTATATAGCCATCGTAGGTTGCTACTCTAGCCGGATCCAAGCACGTGAACCTATCCACATTGCGAGAGGGGTCCGTTTTACTTATCTCGTGGTGGTGATAGTCACCATCGACATTAAAGGAGGGAGATTGATGGCTTCAAAGTTTTAGCCGAATCTCTTCCTCTTTTCGATGAAGATTCGACGATTTTATGGGATTTTGAGGGCACCAATTGACTCGTGAGGTTAGGGGGAGTGTTCCCGTAGTGGTTAGGAGCTTCGATTAAGCCTTGATCAATCGATTTTATCATGTTACATGAAACAAGTTATCTTCGATTAGGCCATTTTTCAATGACTTTTGGCCATGACTTCGAGGGAGAATCAATACTAAGAGGAGACTAACTAGTTCTATGGTAGTGATAGTTGGTGGTTTAGCTAAAATTAGGAGATATTTACATGTTGTTAATTGGGTCGGGTCATCGACGTTCTTTCCCTAATTTTGGCCGGATCCCGCATCTCTTCCTTCTCCAATTGGTCGAGAATGGTGGATCCGGATGTGGACTATCGATTAGGGATGGTGGTTGGAGACAATATTGATCGAAGGATGGCCAATTTAAGAGAAGAAATTCGAGGGATTTGATGGGTCAACCCGCAGGTATCCGGGTGGTTTTTCCATAAGGCCGTTTGACTTCAATTTTTATTTTTTAGGTTTTTTTTTTGGATCTGTGTCCTCTTTAAATGGCTAGACATATTGGGTATTTATTAAAAAAAAACAAATTAGAGTTTTAGGCAAACACAATTTTTTGTCATTAATTTTTCTCAATTTTTAATTTTATTGTTGATTTGTTTGGTTCTTTTCTCAATAATACACTTTCCTTTTTTCAATTAAAATCTTGAGTTTTAATCTTTTCAATTACACCCTTAATTGGGTTTTAATCTTTTCAATGGCACCCTCAATTGGGTTTTCTTTGATACTCACACTTTGTATTTTTTAATTGAACTCTTGAATTTTTTTTTTTTTTTTTTTGTAATTGAACTCCCAAATTATTATTATTATTGAATAATTTTCTTTCTCTTTTTTTCTTTTTTGTATTTTCTTTTAAACTCACATATTTAATTAAATTACTTGGGATACAAATTAGGTTCTAACAACAATCATACAATTTAATTATAGCTTGGATCCCCCCATTTATTTCTTTTATTATGAAATTCAATTTGATTTGATAAGATGAGGAGAAATATTGAAAGCTTGATTTTTCTTTCAATCAAGGTAATTGTTTCTTTAATATTAAGATTTTGTAGTTAAATGTATCTTTTATTTAGACCTTTAGCTTGTATAATTTTATCATTATTGAATTTCAAGATGAAAATTTTAAGTCTTAATTTTAGGAGAGAAAATTTCATGTATTTTATGTAAATAAAAAATTTCAGAGCCATGATAATTTGATTAGAAAATTCTTTTTAAAAAATTATGTTATATCCACCTTTAGAATATTTGTTATCACAAATATTTTGAAAATTATAGATAATTTTAAGGATGTAAATCTCTCAAAAAAAAAATTGCGTAATAAAATTGGAATTAATTTTGGAGAATAAAAATAAAATTAAAAAAATCAAACAAAAAACAAATGGGCCAAGCCTCGCGAGATCTAGGACCTGGAGAGCGTGGGCTCAACTTGGCTGGCATGTGTTCGCATCTGGGCCACAGAGAAACCTGGTCAGTGGCTTAGGTGTTTTTTTCTTTTTCTTTTTAATGTAGAAAAGGCATCATCTGATGCAACAGTTTTATCCACCGGAGTGCGGTCGAAGAAACGACTCTGCTATTTTTCAGCTCAAAGCACTTTAAAATCATTCTCACTCACAACCTGAATAATAAATCCATTTCCAACATTAAAAACAATTTTAGTCTTATAAACTCTTGAAACCCAGTCAAATTTCTAAAATTAATCTTAGTTAGATTCAATTCAAGATATTATTACTTTTTGAATTCTTTTTTTATTCCAACTACTAAACTGTTGAGTTTTTACAATCTCTGAAATTAAATTTTAATAAGCTTTTCTCGAACCCATTTTCTCTCTAAATACTACAACAAAAGGCTAGCTATGCTATGCGATGATCGGCCAGGCCGTTTTTTACCACAGAATTGAAAACAAGCTTTTTGAATTGAGGCAATGATTAACCACCAACCAGCTATTATTACCACAGTTAAATTTTTGCGCTGTTGAGGTAGAGCCCAGCAGACTCATGATTAGCAACTGATTTTCACTCTTGCTTTTACGCGCGTTGTTCAACAAGCTTTAACCAAAGGGGCCCCACTTTGATCACGCCAAAACCCATATGGTCACGTGAACAAGAGAGGTCCGCATCCGCATCATCTTCTACTGCAGGCGCATGCACAACAAGATTAACCTCTCATAACCCAGGCTTATGGGGTTGGGTACTGACACGTGCGCCGAATGCTGACACGTGCGAAACCAGTATTGCCTCTCATTGGATGGTTTTAGACAGGAGACGGTTACTCAAAAAGAACGAGCCCTTGCCACGTGGCATAGAGAATCATGTTGTTGGTCAGACTGAGTCTTCTGGGTAACGGTTGGCGTGTTGGATTTTTCCGATTACATTTTTAAATGTCAAATATGCCCCTATGCTTTTCTTATTTCTGTACATGTTTTTTCGTTTTTGGCATTGATTAATAGCCGAAGACGAGGCTTTTCGACCTAGATCTATCAAGAAAAGAAAACCTAAGGTCACATATGCTTTTTTATGATTATTGATGTATTTTATTAAGATGGTGATAAAATCCAAAAGTTGCTTAAATAACATTACACTAAGCCATACGTTAATTATATATGATATGCGATCGGAAGTTTTGATCATATCGATTCAATTAATATAGTACTTAAACTTTATAATTTTTTTTTTTGTTAAACACATATATACTTGAATTGTCTAACACAAATCTATTTAATTGTCCATGGTATAATTTTTTATGATAGTAATGCATGGTATAATTTTTTATAATAGTAATGGTTTCAATATTATGTAAATATGTATAAGGAACGAAATTAATTTTTCTTTAAATGAGGGTGCCATAAAAAAAAAAAAAAAACCTTGAAAATGAGACAAACTAAAAATAAAATATATGTTTTTTGAAAAGCAAATAAATAACAATTATTGAAATTTTTATGCCATAAACCTTTCAAAAACATATAATACGGCTTCTTTTATAGATATCAATTATGATTTTTACTAATAAAATCAAATATATCTTTAAAAATAAAAGAACTAGATTTTTAAAAAATTATAAATAAATAATAAGCAAACACTTATGATTTTTTATGAAATATAATACATGTTATATATTTATAGATAAAAAATAATGTAATGGTTCCGATAAAATAATGTATAGATGATAAATGAGGTTTTGTAAATATTGCTTTTATTTATTGATTTAATATATGGATGAGGTGATAAACTATTTCTATTTGATAATTTATAATTTGTTTGTGTATAAATTGTATTGGAGGCTTAATTATTTATAATCATTTTATTTTATTTTATTTTATTTTTTTAAGAATTACTGATAATCATAATTGATCTATATCCATTTGGACAATTCCATCCAATGTCAGTGGCAAATTCGTAAATGAATCAACGACAAGGGCTATTAGCACCATCCAGCTTTTTTAAGCTGACCATTCTCCTTATGATTTCTTCAGGTTTTGTTTCTTCCCGGGTTCAACCAAAAAACGGACCTCCTCCGTTCTCACTACTCATCTCCTCCTTTTATAATCTATATTCAAATGGATCTGCTCTGACCAACTGCCTTTTACCAATTTCAACGCCAATTGCTCTCATTCAAGCCACAAACAAGTTTCTTTCTTCTTTAGACCCAAAAAAATTGTAGCTTTCATTGATTTCTGATCATTACATATTTATTATTCCAGTCCTCGAACGCACTTTTTTTTTTTAAATGAAAAAGTGAACTTCCACAAGCAAATTTAACTCCAACAAAATTTTACCTTTCAGTTTTGCTAATTCTTGTCCAGTTATAGAATCTTGCTAGCTTCTTGCTAATCCAGTCACTTCGTATACAAATTTTGCTAGAGACTAGAAGTATGACTTCAGGCACGAGACTGCCAACATGGAAAGAAAGAGAGAACAACAAGAGAAGAGAAAGGAGAAGAAGAGCCATTGCAGCAAAGATCTTTTCTGGGCTAAGAATGTATGGCAACTACAAGCTTCCAAAACATTGTGATAATAATGAAGTCCTTAAAGCCCTCTGCAATGAGGCTGGCTGGACCGTCGAGCCCGATGGCACCACTTACCGCAAGGTACTCTACTAATTAGTATTTACTCACTCACCATCTATATTTGGTTCCAGCTTAACTTTGGTTTTACCCTTTTAGGAAGCCAAAACTTGAAAAGATTACAGTTTTGGTGTTTTAATTTCGTTTAGTATAGAAAAAGAAAAAGAAGTGATCAATTCGCTTATTACTTGAACATGAATTTTGGGTTACTTCCAGTTTGATTAGTTTTGTCTGTTTAGTTGATTTATTATGCCAGTTGGCTATCTGTGTATTTTAGAATCATTCACTGATCCTTTATATCACAATAAGCATTAGAAATCACGAAGATATTGTGAACCCAGTTCCTGCGTTTCATGATCCTTGCTGAACTTCCCCTTGGCAGTAGTTAATTTAGGAGTTATCTGGGTTGCGTTGATTGTTGCGCATGCTAGCAGAACCATGCCACTGCATGCTAACTTGCGCTGGTTTCTGTTGCAGTGGTGGCGTTGCTGAGGTTTTTCTTTTTTCTTTTTTCTAAAGCTGATGTGATCAGTGGGGTTAGATTCGTTTGCTGATTTTTTTCTTTTGTCTTTCTGGGGTTTATCTCTCCGGCGCACGTTAGATCGTCAGCCTTGTGTTTCCTTGGCTGCCTTTTTTGTGTTTGGTGTCCCCGGCGTACGTTAGATCTGGTCAGCACTGTTGTAGCGATCGTTTCCTTTTTCGGTTTCGTTTTGGTGATGTCAGCTTTGCTTTGCTTTCTCGCGTGAACCACAAGATTCTATCGTTTCTTTCTTTCTTTTTGCCAACAACTTTAGACTCACTTTGGTCTGTTAGAGACAACATGGGGCGGCAGCACAGCTTCCTTGAAAAGACCAAAATGCCCTTGAAAACAACATGAGACTGACTGTTGCATGTGGAAGGTGGTGGGCTCTCTTTCATGGATTTGGTTGAGTTTCTTTTAGTTCATTGCCAGCAGAAATACTGACACTTTTTACAGTTCTGTTCAGTTTCCCAGTTGGGAGGTGTGTTTGCTTTGGGTTCTGTTGTTGATATTGTTGCTGCTTCTTTAGTGGAGTAGCTCTGGAGTTCAATTATTGTTCATAAAGTACAAAATAATTTAACCTAAGTTTAGTAAATGATTTCTGTTGGGCTTGGAGATTATTAAGATTCTTGTCTTATTGGGGTACATTGGTCGTTTAAAGTCACCATGACGTTTAAAGTCACCATGACCAAACCAGTGATGGAAAGCAGAGTTAATGCTTCTGATGGGGGTTGAAATGCTTTTAAATGTTTTAGAAAACGATGAACTATTTTTCTTATGCAAAAGTTTGCGGAGTATGAAAAGGATGCAGTGGTGGATCATAGAGGAAACTTGTGGTGACTGTTGAGAGTAAAATTTGGATCTTGTGAAGAAATGACCGATAGGAACATGTTAACAATGAGTATTCCATTCCACATATAACTATCGGATTCTATGGGCAATAGATCTTCACTATGCCATCATTTGAGACACTACATCAACCATGTCTTCCCATCATATTTTAGGAAGTGAATATGTTAAGCGTTTTGAAATAATGGGGATATTTTACCTTCATCCCCTGTTAGGTTTCAATTATTTATTTCCACATAAACTTGCTGGCTATATTTCTCTAAAGCCTGGTGCAACCACAGGTTACTTTCAATTGCATGCCATATTTTTCAGCTGCTTTGGTCATTTTATGCCTTCTTCAATTATGGACATATGTTAGAGATTCTATCTTCCATCCTGATACTGCCTTTGTCAAATGCCATTAGAAACTGACTTGTCCCTATTACTAGTATGGTTGAAACGTTAGGCCCTATTCTTAAATTGGACACTCCATGCACTGAGGATATGCTTGTAAGGCTCGAAAATTATGATTTGTTATCAAAATATTGTTCTCATTTTTGCTGTTGCTTGGCATATTCTTTGCAATAGCCTTGCGAGTACCACTGCAATTTTTTCTATGTCCCTGATCTTTGTCGTTTTTTATAGGGATGCAAACCTGTGGAGCGCATCGACATTATTGGTGGTTCTGCAACAGCAAGCCCATGCTCCTCCTACCACCCTAGCCCCTGTGCTTCCTACAACCCAAGTCCTGGATCCTCTTCCTTTCCCAGTCCAGCTTCATCCTCCTATGCTGCTAATACCAATGTGGATGGCAATTCGCTCATACCATGGCTGAAAAACCTCTCATCGGCGTCTTCATCAGCATCCTCTTCTAAGTTCCCCCATCTCAACATCCATGGTGGCTCCATAAGTGCTCCTGTTACTCCTCCTCTGAGCTCTCCAACTGCTCGAACCCCCAGAATAAAAGCTGACTGGGAAGACCAATCTATTCCCCCAGGCTGGGGTGGGCAGCACTACTCCTTTTTGCCATCTTCAACTCCACCAAGCCCTGGCCGCCGAATTGTTCCTGATCCAGAATGGTTCGTGGGGATTCGAATACCACAAGGTGGTCCCACTTCTCCCACATTCAGCCTGGTTGCCTCCAACCCATTTGGCTTCAGGGAAGAAGCTTTAGCTGGTGGTGAATCCAATGGCGGATCCCGCATGTGGACTCCTGGTCAAAGTGGCACGTGTTCACCTGCCATTGCAGCCGGCTCCGATCATACAGCTGATATTCCCATGGCTGAAGTGATTTCAGATGAGTTCGCATTCCGATGTAATGCAACTGGGCTAGTGAAGCCATGGGAAGGAGAGAGGATCCATGAAGAGTGTGGATCAGATGATCTAGAGCTTACACTTGGGAACTCAAGAACCAGGTGAGCTGGAATGATATTTGATCAAATAGATCAAACCTACTGTTGTTTTACTTGATACATTCTGGGATGCAGATAAACAAATGCAGAAATGAAAACGTCCAAGTGTCCATACATGAACCTCCATTCCATGTTTGTACCGCCAAAAATAGAGTTATAGATGGGATCTTGGTGAGTATTAGCCCTAGCTCTCTTCTTATTTATTTTTCCCTGTTTGCTTTTACTTTGGTCTAGATAACATTATAGATAGTGCTTCAAGGTGAGAAGTGGTTTCACAACCCTTTCATTTCGTTAGTTTCACTCAAAAATCTATCGGAAGAACTGCTTCATCCAGTTGTATGCCTTCAGTTTCTGGTTTGCCATTGGAAGTTCATGCTCAGTGACTCAAGTGAATGAAAATTGTAGTTCAATGGCCAAACCTTCTATGAAAATTAGAATAGAGTGGACTTTCCAACCATGCCTTATGTGTATTATTTGACATTAATGTGTTGTTCATATTATCATTTGCACTTCCTTTCTAGTTTTTGTTTAGTACCTTTGTTGCGCCTTCATAAAGAAAACATTTCTTTTCAATTGATGACCGATGGGTAAATTCAAGCCTGTTATTGCAAGTAAGTGGGGTGACATATCATAAAGAAACCACTTTATAGAAGATGATTGTCATGGACCAGATCACTACTTCCTTGCCACCTCAATTCAAGAAATCAGAATGGCTAAAGGTTACGCCTTTTTGAATGTATCAAATATCTTTTGACCAAAACCTTGGGTGACCTGTTCTTGCAGTACCTTACAAGTCAATTATCAGTCAATTACATGTGACATGGTGTGTGGATCCGATAAAATAAAATTATTTTATAATTTTATAAATATTTTTTATAAATTTTTATTTAAAAAAATATAAATTATTATTCTTTATGGATTAATTTTAAAATAAAAAATTATAATAATTTTAACTAAAATATTAATCAAGAATTAAAAAAAAAACTTTAAAATGAAAATCTTTCATAATATTTTATTTTAAAAAATAAAGTTATAATTAGTAGACATACTTTATAAAAATTAACAAATGAAAAAAAAATCTTATCTAATTTTGATGAGAAGGTTAGTTTTTGAAATTATCTCGTAAACGTTGTGGGTAGATAGAACAAAATCATTTCAAAGTTTTATAATTTTTTCATTAATTTTTTATTTAATTATGATTTTTTCATAAAATTTCTGCTTAAAAACATGATTTATTCTTCTTTATTTCGAGATTCTTAAATAAAAACTTGTAATAATTTAACCTTGAAATTTTAATCACGAATTCAAAAATAAATACTTTAAAAATATATTTTTTAATAGGAATGTATCCAAAACATAAAGTTACAATTAATGTATAGACTTGTATAAAAATTAACTAATGAAAAAAAAATATTCTTATTTAATGTTGGTGAGAAAATTATTTTTTAAAAATATATGCATTTGATCTTTATATATTTATTTACAAAATAATCAATAAAAACAGCATAAAAACTAGATTTGAATAATTAGTTGATTCCTTTAAAAAATTATTTTAAGTATTTTATTTCAAATAAATTGGTTCTATAATGTCAAAAAAAATATTCATAGTAAATAATTTGTATTACGTTGGAAGATGTATAGTTAATTTTTAATAAAAATAATAATTCAATATTTTTTTTATATATGCAACTATCATTTAAAAATTTTAAGAATTCATGATATATATTATACCAATTTATTTTTTAAAAAAAATCATGTTTTAAAATTTTATTCTAAAATTCAAACATAGAGAAAAATAAATTATATTTATTATTAAATAAAATTTTATATAAAAAAATTAATTGGATGAGAATTTTCATTAAAAAAATGATAAATTGAAAAAATAAAATTTAAATAATAAAAGTAATATAAGTCTGAAGAGTGTGTGTGTGTGTGTGTACTGCTGTATGAAAATGAAAGAAAAAATGAAAGCTGAGTATTAAAAAAAAAATGTGACAACATAAGGGACGACAATAAGAAAAAGTGTTAAATTTGCGTATTAATATCCAAAAAAAAAAAAAAAACACACATAAAAATTAATTAAATTTCCATCAAATAAATAGTGAGTTTATGTATATGAAGACTAAGTGAATTGAAATTTTAGACATATGAACAATTCGAATTCCCACGCTACGTTACGGATCGAACTAAATATATTTATTTCAGTTTGATTACATATACTATGTCGTCGGTTAATTAAAATATATTAGATTAAATATAAAAGATTAAATTTCTTCTATTTTTATAATTTTTAATCAAAATTTTGTGTGTGTGTGTGTTTTGAATAAATTTTGAAGTCAAAAAAACATGATTTACTCTTTCTTATGCATTTATTCTTAAATAAAAACTCATAATAAATAAATTTTAACAGAAATTTAATAAAAAAAAAGGTCTTAATATTTTTTTCATAACATTGCATCGAAGAAATAAAACAATAATTAATATAAATTTTTTTATGAAAATTAACAAATAAAATTTTTTTACTGATGAGAAGATTATTTTTTAAATATGTTCATTTGATTTATATATATTTATTTACAAAATAATGAATAATATTAGTATACAAAATTGTATTTAAATTATTAAAATATTATTTAAATTATTTTATTTTAAAAAATTAAGTTTAAAAATATTTAAAAAATAATAGCAAATAGTTGGTATTGTATATGTAGATGCATAGTTAATTTTTAATAAAATAATGACTCTAATATTATTATTTTTTATACATCATGACCGTACTCAATGAGTAAGAATGTATAACATAAATTGAAAAAAATTTACAAAAATTAAATTATAAAATATATATTAAAGTTAATAGAGTGCGATAAAAACTATAAAATTGATTCCGATAAAATTTGATTGTATAAAGAATAAAAAAATAAAATACATATATTATATTTTTTAAAATTCGATTATATAAGAATTACGCAAATAAAAATAAAGTATAAAAAAACTTATTCGAATCTATATATAGAGAAACTAAATCATATTTGTTAATAAATAAAATTATATAAAAAATAAGAATAAAAATTAATTTGATGAGAATTTTTATGATAAATCGAAAAGATTAATTTTAAATAATAAGAGTAGTATATATTTATTCTAAAATCCAAAAATATATCGTATATATTATATAATCTGTAATTTGTGTAGAAAAAAATAACAATTGATTTTTCAAAATTTTAACACCCAGTTAAATAAATAAAAAAGAACATAAATTGAAGAAAAAATCAAAGAAAAAAAAACATGTATCGTGATTCTGCTAGAGGATTAAAATTTGTATTTTAAAATTTTAGAAAGCAAAATAAAACAACTTGAAAATTACCCAAAAAAAACTAAACTAAACTACAGTAAATAAATAGTAAATTGTAAGAGAATGTAAGGTAAAAATCATTACTCAAAACCCTCACTCCTTTTAGTTTCATTGCAATCTGAGAACTGATCAGGAGTTTCATTACAAAGGTGGACTATAGGCCCCTTTCCTTGAGCATTTCTCGAAGTTTTCAATCAAGTCTTCCACAAACTTTGTCCATTCGTTGCCAGCCTGCGCACGTTTCTGATCACGTTGGTTAGACTTAGACCATCAGTTTTTTGTCTCCAAAGACTTCGGAATTTACTCGCGTTTAGATGTCCTCCTATCTAATCCAAGTATTTTGGTGGTGGAAAACGGTTCTGTGCGTTTGTGTGTATGTAGAGAGAGAGAGAGAGAGAGAGACAGAGAGACAGAGAGAGAGAGCTCTTACAGTCTTACCCACAGTCGTTAAATGCTGTGTTCATCAGCAATAAATTGGAAAGGCCATGTAAATTATAGCAACTGGTAGGAATTTCCACCTTCAGCACATTGTATTTGTACCTCATGAGTAACTAAACAAGTTTTTAATCTGTTCAATCACTTAGAAACCATTACGTCGAGGACAATTTACAAATGGAGAACGTGTGGATAGAATCTTCAGATGATTCAGGCCGCCTCCCCCAAGTAATATGTACTTCAAACACTAGAGCATTTGATCACCTCTCAAGCTTTCTAAAAAGATCCGAGAGAGCATGATAAAGTATGGAAGCAGCAGGAGGGCCACCTCCCCCAAGTAATATGTAATTCAAACACTAGATTTATTTGATCACCTCTCAAGCTTTCCAAAAAGATTCGAGAGAGCATGATAAAGTATGGAAGCAGCAGGAGGGCCAGGCAAGGACCCAAGAAGAATATCTGATGCATTCATCGATGCACCATAAAATCTAGCATTTTCCCGTGTTCGAGTTGCAAGTATATTCCCTTCAAGTGAGCATCCAACAAATGCACCTGCATTGTTGATTGGTGTCTGATTAGAACATTAAAATTGATTTCCTTCTCAAGAAAGAAAAAAGATGAATCGCAATTAAGAATTAAGCAGATTCTAACCCATTAAATATTTTAAAATAATTTGAGTAAAATAAAATCAATATGGTTTGTCAACCCTTTAAAAAATCAAATACCATACGGAGACCTTCAGAGAGAGTTAAAGAATGAAGATCAACACAAGCAGAACAAACAAAAGATAACCATTTATAAGACGGGAAGAACAAGTGTTAAGAGTGCTAGTCGTACTTATGGCTTCTTCACTCATTGACTGCAAGTTCTTTCCATATTTGAGAGAGGTAAAGAAAGCTAGTATATCACACAAACTGGATGAACAATGCAATGGTCCCATCCTTAAGGACTGTTCAATTCTCAGTTCAGTATCATAGATAACTTCCTTAAAACAATCAAGAAGATATGCATGGACCACAAAAGAACTGTATTTTTTAGTCAAGAAGACAGCAACTATAATTTGAAAGTAGCATCACTATGAATCATATAGTAGTATGAGGTTTATAAAATAAAGAAATAAATAAAATAAAGCCCAAAATCGTAGTATTACCTTTGCTGCAGCTATAAGTGTAACAGGCCGCCAAACCACCATCACCACCCCTTAAATCAGCTTCAGCAGCCCGTCCAACAATGCCAACAGCTGCACTCAAACCAGCTCCAACTGAGAAGTGCAGATTTCCACTGAATGTTTTGACAGCACCCGTAGTTCTCAGCACAATAATGAAATCGGTAAATTCCCCTCCAACCTATTAAAAATTGCAAGAGGAAACAGTAAGGATCAATATTATAAAGGCCAAAAAAATGGTGATATGTACCATTTAATCTAAAAAAGGATTCACATGAATTCTCAATAGTCAATTATAAAAATGGTGCAAGTCGATAGTTTGGTTCACTGTATCCAAAAAAAAAGAGAGAGAAGAAGAAGATTGTCTGATTTCTTTAAAAAGACAGACCAGATCAGCTACTACTCTGAAAACAAAGTGCTAAATTAGAAAAGAATTTATACTGTACTAGTTGGGATAGGTTCCTTCAACTCCATTCTGTTTTTTGGACCAAAATTTATGTGGAAGTTCTATGGTAAAAGCCATTCTCACTCATTCAACTCGCACCACTTTTTATTTGCTTGTTTATTTTATTTGATATAATTAATATTCTGCAATGGCACATCATGCTCACATAGAACACAGCCCACCTTTGACGATCATTCATTAACTTGTCCTCAATAGATGCCCCAATTCTTTGACCTTAACATGGCTAAGCCAGTTTCATTTACCCTCATTGCAAATGCACTCATACTTTGATCAATCATTTTTTTTTCAACTTATGCATCATTGCATTCTCATCTCAGCTATTCCCCCTTTATGGAGTAGCTGCTTACTTGACACTTAAAACTCTTAGCCACAGAATATAGCTGCAGTTTTTATCTGGATCAAAACAGAGAAGGATGGTTAAGGTAAAAAGGAAAAGAAGGGATGGACGATGTATTTGCCTTGTTTGGGTGGGCAGACATATACTCAGTGAGAAATAAGCATGCATCCCTTTCTTCTAGGCTCACATTATCCAATTCTAAGGAGGGATTGTAAGGAGAAGTTAAAAGTTTCTTCCACTTCACCTTTCATTCGTTACTTTGATCTGCTCTCTCCTGCCCCAACCAAACAACTAGAGAGAAAGATTGCTGTACATCCTTCCTCCTCTCCATTCTCGATTACTCTTTCCATCTCTATTTCTCATCCTTCCACCAAACATGACATTCAACTTAACAGGGACTTCACCATTGCAAAATACTTAAGCAACACTGCTCCACTGGTGTATGGCCTATCTATCTATGCAAAATAACCTGTAACTGTCAGCTAGCTCATGCCACTTATGGTCAACAATTCTAGAAATAGAAGACTGAGGAATGTGAATGGAAGAATTCCTGCTTCCATTGCTGGTGCTGCTTCTTTCATAGCTACACGCTCCAAAGTGCATCCAATTTCAAAATTCCTCAATCTATGGCAAAGCAATTGAGCAAACATTGGATCTAAAATTAGGAACAATTCAGACTCATAATTCATAGTATGTATGTATAAAAAAGATTCTTGAATTGTTGCTGAATTTTAGATGCAATCAATCTGAAAACCCTTCAATCTGAGGCAAACCAGTTGAGCAAACATTGAATCTAAAAAGTCAGCAACAATTCAGACTCAGATTTCATACATTACCGGTATCCAGTAATAATGTTGACAGGGATGCCAAAGATTCAAAATGTTAAGTCCATGAAACATGCATCCAACTGCAAAATCTGTAATTTTATAGAACAAAAACTGATGCAATGAATCCAATTTTGATTATTGTTCAGAGATTAACTTAACTATGAATCAAGTTTTGCTGAATATGGACCTCAGAGGAAGAACTACTCTGACTCGCCTTCAAATTTAAAACTAGATAATTTTCATACCATATGCAAGGAGATAGACAGTGTTACTTGAAAAGGGTAGCTGCTATCTTTACCTGAGCTCCCCAGCCCATGCCAAAGGAAGAAATGGCTGATGGTGGAGACCAGGATCCACCTTCCCTACGAGCAACAACTAGTCCAGTCCCAATGTTGTAGGTCACCATCACACCAACCTTTGCAATCGTAAGGATTGCAAGGCCCTTTGCTTGTTTTAAAATAGCATCCGGTATGGACTTCTCAGGTGACATAGAACCAACCTGAGCAATGTGAAAACTGAAGGTATAAGTTAATCATCAACATGAGTTATCACATTAATGCCACACTCCTGATTACTTGACAATGTGTATATATATATATATACAGGAAAGGCTCCGCAGAGAAGCCATCACCATTGAACTCTAAAAGTTTCGATAGGCCAAATCTTAATCATAACAACCAATTTGATAAAAGCACCTCAATAATAACTTATACATCCAAAGCAACAAGATTTCTCTACACATTACACAACACTAGAGGTTCAAATTTGATGAAGCTTCAAGTTCTCTTTTCTAGACTCTTAGTTCTATTTATTTATTTTCCCTTTAAGCTCTCAGCAAATGACTCAAACAGCTTCATGAATCATTTAAAACTGAATTCAGAAGTTAGATAAAGATGTCACTGTTACCTTGGTATAACCCTGAATGCTGTTCGCAGCCTTATAAATCTCATATTCCATGGACTGACCCCATGGGAAATTGAGCCATGATCTCAAAGTACTGAGGTCAGTTAGATCTTGAGTTGGCAACTGAGCAGCACGACTTACATGGTCCTTCAAGTATGATTGCACTGACTCAAGCCGCACACAGCACACATCACAGACACGTTGTGGGTTCCTGGTACAGAAATTTTTGGGCAACAAGCTTCTCCCCTTTGAGCATTCATTACAAAATATCCCTCCACAGAAACGACAGTGATGCCTGGAGCATATGATGGGGTGGAATCTTATATTACACAACATGCAAGCAGAAGCAGAACTGTCAGCCAACCACTTTGGAGGCTCTGCTTCAAGAATCTCCTGGGCGTTCCCAAAATTAGCCTCTGTGAGAGTTTGAGCCATCTCACTCCAAGCTTGCCCTAGAATAGGATCTGATATCCAGGAAATTCTACATCTGTTGACATCTCCAGAAGCAATTGCATTCACTTTTCCTCGAGCTGCTACCAGCATCTCAGCAAACACATCCCACATGGTCAGCTCCTTATTTTTCTCAAGTAGCTGACTCCAATCTAAATCTTCATCAGGGAAGCATCCCCCATTAAGTGGCAGACCTCTGCTCCATTCTTGCTGTTCACTTTCCAACAAGGGTGGAACAGAGACGGGTATCCAAACTCCAGTTTCTTCAGAGAGTGGAGTATCATAAAAGAAAACTTTACTCGGCTTTGAATGGCAGGTATTTGAAACATTTTCCACACCATTGTTGGCTATGTCATGTTGGGAAGCTTCGCTTTCACATTTTCTCACCAGTGTCCTCTCTTCTTTCACAACAACATTTTTTTGTATCTGATTTCTTTCAGGTGTATGGTCCTCCACCTCTTCAGAAATCTACCGACAGAGAAAAGGCCTCAAATTAGTTTATTAATCATCTGTGTACAGGATGAACGACAAGAAAGAGGACTATAATTTAAAAAAAATAAATAAATAAATCATTTCTCGTAAAGAAAATTGGTAACCATTGATTTATTTTGCTCAAACCAACACATTATTCCTCTAATCAGGTGCACCCTAAAAAAATATAGATAGAAAAATTCCATCATAATCATACACAAAATATTTTAAGCACATTACTTTCATGCCAATGCTTTTACATCAAGAAAATGATTTAAACAGGAAAAAAAAAGGTAAAGACAAATGTCGTCAACCTCAAAAGATTATGAACAGACATGTTTGAAAGACGCAAATTAACCCATTATGAAAAGAAAAAAATAATAATAAACCAAAGAAATTCTAGCTTAACGCTCACACTATTCAAAATCTGTTTTGCTTCATCCTGCATATCACATAGCCTTTGAACTAATTGAAGCATCCAACTGCTGTACGAACAGCAAAAAAGAGACGTCCTCATCATCGAAACAAATCATCTTAAAATTCTAAAATAACGATTAGAAGGCCAAAGGGCATCCTTTTTTCTACTTGTTTTTCAATAACTAAAATATACATATCCCAGCTAACAAAAGAAAAAAAGAACTTCTCTTTCTTCCCTAATTAACATTTCCCAAACACAATTAAAGCAATCCCTCAACATTCAAAACACTTTATCATCAATCACATCTTAGTTTCCTTGATTAGATTGGTTTGCATCACTCCAAAAGTAGAGCTCATCTGTCAGTTAATCCATTCAAACCTTAAAAAGTAAATCCACTGACTGTAAAGTTTAAACCTTTTCTATATACTGAAAATCAATTAACAAAATTCGCTGAATTTCAGCATTTGTTAAGCGAATATGGAAGGACCCCATAACAATATTTAACACACAAAATCCAAATTCTATAACTTTTCTTTGGTTTCTTAGTAAACAAAAAAGGGAAAGATTAAAATAAAAGACAGAGAGAGGAAAAAGGTTACCAAGGGAGATAGAAATTGAGGCTGGTAATCGTCGAGTTGGATTTTAGGGTATTGTATGTGTCCCTCCATTCTCTGTCTTAGAAGATGAACTTTGACAGAGGAGAGGACAACAGCACCAAACCGAACCGTTTTGAGCGGTGTCGAGGTAATCCGTTTAATTATATGACAAAAGATTCTGGGACTGAATTTCGAGATCGTAGACGCGAATCTTCCTCCCCCAATCAACCAAAGCGCATTGGAGCCCACATTAACTTCGACGTGGATTTTCTTTTTTTTTTCCTTTTTTTTTTCGGGGAGTCGTTCAATAATTCCATTTCAAGTGAAGAAATAAAACATCATTTCAGATACCAACTCAAAAGGTAACCTTGATTTATTTTTTATTTTCCTTAATTAGAGGAGAATATATACAAATTCATGTATTGTTATGGGTTGATAAACTTGAGAATTTTTATTATTTATAATAATAAAAAAATATTAGTTCATTCCAAATTGGGTAAATATTTTGAACATAAAGTTTTAGAGTTTAAAAATAAAAAAGCTTTTTGGCATTATATAGATGTTAAGGTTTCATTCATTTATTTACTTTTTATTTATTTATTTATTTTTACCAATAGTGAATCGAAGAGGGAGGATAAAAAATCAGAAGGAAAAAAAAGTAAATAATTTTTGAAAGCAAGGTTTGATTTTATGATTTGATATTTTTTTTTTATGGTCAGTTTCTTCTCAAAGTGGTATAATTTTCTTTGGAATTTATGGTTTTTATGTTTGTGTTTGTAGGGACCTAAGTTTTTTCCTTTTCTTTGTATTTACGTTTCTCCTCTTTTTAGTCATGAACTCCAAGTTTATCAGTCAATTTTTTTATTATTATTATCATTATGGGAATTTTTTTTTTCTTTTCATTGAGATTGCTAACTATAGATGAAGTGCAACATTGTCGCATTGATGCTTTCTTTTGACCAATCGTCATGAAGCTGGTCTGCTTTCTCTCAATTTTTTAAGGCATGTTTATCAGTGTCCTTACTTCGGTTACTTTATCAATAACCTAACTAAATATTATTTATTCTTTTATCTCTTTTAATCACTCAAAAAAAAATTGTATTTTGCTTTTTCTTATTGTTTAAAATTTATTATTGAATTTTTAAGTTATCTAAATAAAATTGTTAAGGTCCAATTTTATTTATTTTTATTTATTATTTTTTAAAAAAAGAACTAAAGCTTGATGATGGGATTTATAGGAATTAAGTATGCAATTAAACAGTGTGAATTAACTAATTTTTTGCTTTTTATATTTCTATTTTTTTATTTTGATTGTAATAGGAAGGTTATGGACTTGAGTTAATTGATAAAGATCGTTTTATGTTGAAGATAGGACTATTTTTATTTGAAATAAAAATAATAAAATTTAAATTTTTTTAATAAATATAATTTTAAAATTCAAATCATATGTATTAGAAGACGGGTGAGCACTGATGAGCTTATCACTGACTCAACATAATTGTTGTTGTCATTTGCTTTTATTGGTAATGTATCAGTCAGTTGTAGGTGTGTAGGAAAATCTTCTCTTTCAGTTTTTTACCTTAGGTTTTCATAACCTAAAAATTTTCGCAGGCCTTAGTCTTACCTTTTTTTTTTCTTTTCTTGCCAAAATAAATTGATGCTAAACTTTGTATTAGCTGCTACTAAGTATTAACCTAACATTTTTGCATTAGCCACCACTGAGTATAAGCCCATCTCGTAATTTGGCTGGATTTACCAATATGTTGGTCGAGAAATGAAAAAGCTAGGACTTTTTCTTTCTTTTTTCTTGCATTGTGTTGAAGGTTGTGCATTGCTTTATAAAAACTATTGATTTATTCTATAATTTGATTTGATTGGTTAATTTGAAGTTAATTTTTTTATTCATTAGGAGCAGCTAGGAGATGGCACTTCTTAATACGTCATTGCTGCCTTTGTTTTACGGATTAATTAAAAGCGGGAAAGTGCAGGTTTCACATGCTTTTCTCACGTAACTCTCCTCCCTTATTTTGTTATGTTTTTTTTTTTTTTCTTTCCCCTCCTTCTCCTTATCATGGATGTTTGAACTTTGGTGTCACCGTTTCTATGGTAGTAGTTTTCACAATAATATATTCAGGCTCATTCCTGCATCTTGCCTTTGAATAGTCAATGTTTTGTGGATAATTAATCCTTCTAGCTATTCAAAAGTCATTGAATAATTTTTTTATATTTAATAACTAATTAATTAATCAAAATATTTTTAAATCTATTTATAATTTATCCCTTTCATTTTTTAATTTTTTAATTTTTTATTTTAATAAATAGAAAAATAAATTATAATATAATTGTCAATTAGTACATTAATATTAAGAAAAAAAAACTAAAATAAAACGATCGATTACTATTCGCTCCATCGTTTGAAGCGTTGTTTACTCGGACTTATTTGCACTATTCACCAAGTTTCATGTGCACTATGCAGTGATTTTTTTATAGTTTTTACATATTTTAAAGACAAGTATTATAAAAATTATCATAACATTATACTTTAGTTTTTTTTTTTAAACATTGTCTTTTTTAGTCGGTAAATATTTTTATTTTATTTCTATTCCTTTTTTGTTTCATTTTGGTTACTTTAGTCCTTTCTTTTTTATCTCTGATTTTTTAATTGAAAATTTTAAGATAAAAAATGTTTAAAAAAAAACTACAAAAGAAATTTTTACCTAAGAATTCATTGATTTTGACGAGTATTTATACTATTAAAAAAATTTTAGTTTGTGGATAGAGATAAATAAATAATATTTTTTTAATCAAAATTTTGATTAAAAATTATGAAAACTATAAAGAATAATCAATCAAATACAAAATTTTGATTAAAAATTTTATAAAATAGAATAAATTTTTATTTAGTTTTGATTTGATATATTTTAATATATGAGCAATATAACATGAAACATCAAACTAAGATAATTTAAAAAATAATTTTTTGTGTTATGTTTGATTCGCAATATAGCGCGCATAAAAAACCTAATCTGGTCTAATATAAATGGATAGAACTAAAGTATTTTTCAAGTTATATTGAGCTTGTAAGGACACTCATAAATCAAATTGTAGGCATGCTTTAATGTCTTGGGCAACATGTGAGACATCTTGGTTGCGTCTGGGCCTGCATCACTTTGGGCAACATCGAGAATTTCTCTAAGATGCAGGCCAATTGCATCATAAAGAGCGCACGATTTGCAAATTCACATCTTTATTCAGTCGGTCAAATGTTTAGACATGAAATTGAGCCAATGATGTGCGTCTCAAATCATATTTTTGTTATATTATGAAAACGATATTGTGATCCTTTCTTCCTTTTCACTTGAAACCAAAATAACATGTGTAATGAAAATCTAAAATTCCATGTCTTCAAACTTTTTTAAGTCTTTTCCAACTAAAAATCACATACACTTTCTGTGTGCCTGCAACTTTATAAAAATAAAGATCCAAATTATGAAAAATAAAAATTAAACTAGTTCACTCTGACTCATTGAAACAATAAATGTTTTTTTTTCCTTTTTATGTGTTTAAGACTTACCTATCTTTTCATGAATGGTAAAGAAGTGTCTATATCAAAAACCATTTAATCTAACATTAAGGTGGTGTTTGATAAAATTAAAAATTAAGTGTTAAATTTGTTAAGTACTGAATTATAAATGTTGGATAATTAAATACTCGAATATTTTGTCGACAAGTCGTTTGGTATTTACTAAAAATTAAGTGTTGATTATAATAAAGTTATTTGATAAGTACTCGTTTACTAAACATATTAAGATTGTATACAGGATAATTTTAACCTTTTGTAAGATGATATTTTTTAACACAAATAAAAATATATAGAAAGATGTGTTTGAGTGTATAAATAAACAAACAAACAAATAAATTAAAGTTCAATAAAAATGATTATTAATAAAAAAAATTAAACACGATCTAAGATATAATTAATTATCATATCATGTACAAAATAAATGAAATCTCAAGTACTAATCAATTTATTTGCAATTTGGTCTCGCAAATTAACCATAAATATTTGATCGACTCGTGCTTATATGTCTCTTTCGATGAATGGTAAATTTGCAATAACATTTGGTGTTTGATGCATCACATAATCGTTATCAAATTGTTCGGATGTCATTCCTACATATAATAAAATGATTACATCAAAAGTCACATTATTGCAATTTTAGAACTCAAAATAACACCACAAAAAAAAATCTAACACGCTTATAAAAAAAAAAAAAAAATCAAATTGAGGTCCTAAAAACATAAAAACAACCAAAAGGTATATAACCATGCAAACATGTATAGAATAAAAATGAAAACGGTATAGAATTAACTAGCTCAATACTCACGCATTGCTACAGATAAACCTATTATATCTATATTTTAATATTTTAAATAATTTAAAAGTATAAATGTAAAATAAAAATTAATTAACACTCATTGTAAAAAAAAAACTTATTTAATTTAATATATATATATATATATAATTGAATTTAAATATATCTTAGGATTATTTTTTATTTTGATAAATAAAAAATACATGAAATTTATTATTTATTTTTTTATAAAAAATCAAATTAGAAGGAGAAGCTTAATCAATTTATATTGGAAGAATATTTAATTTTAATTAATTAATATTTATAAAAATATAAAAAATAACCATTAATTATGGGAAAAATTATTTTGATTAAATAATAATCAATGAAAAAAAAACCGAGTCCATCAAAAAAAATTATCGGGACCTTTCGTAATATTTTTTTAAATTAAGAACTATTTTATATAAAGTAATAACTTAGAGGATTAAAGTGTAAAATGTTAACAATTTGTCAAAAAAATCTCTCTTTTTTTTTTTTTGGAAAACGGCATCGTTTTGAGTGTAAAAGAGGCAAAACGATGTCGTTTTGGTTTCACTCGTAGCAGGAGCTCGGCTATAGTGAAACTCTATCCTCTTTTAGCATATGTTATAGTCGGTTACCCGAGCTATGCAAGGAGTCCGATAGAACAAAATCATTTTAAAATTTTAAAATTTTTTA